GAGTTGAAGAGGCAGGAATCAAGAATAGCTCAGTTTGCATGACTAGGCGTGCCATGTCTCAGTAAATGCTAAATTCACACTCACCGGTCAAGACGCATTCGACGTATATTTTAACACTTCCTTAATGTCTTGATCTTCGAAGTCTTTAAGCGCCAGCACAAGGTGTTCGTTATTAGCTCGAATTATGTTTTGCGCCGTAACACAGTCGTCACACCAGAGTGCACAACACTGGAAGCAGTACAAATGCTGTACGCTTCTTTCGTCGCAATTTCTTCATTTCACGCCGATGGAATTACACTTTGTGACTGCCAACATATCTAGCAAACTGTTGATGCGAAGGTTGGTCGGCAAGTTTTCCAGGTTTTCACTGCTAGGGACTCGTGAAGCCAAAAACTGTGTAAACATGGCAGCCGTCTTGGATCTGTGAATGTGGTCATGCACACAGAACAGGTACTTCTCCATGAAGATTGTTTAATAAAGTTTTTATTATGATTAAAGGCGGAAAGACAAACTGGGTTTAGAGATCAAAATACTTTCAACAGTTGGGCTTTGTAATATAAAGATACCGTATTTATCAGATTATTGTTATTGACCAATCACGAGAGTTTGGACATGCTGTCTGATGTGACTCAATTCTAAGAATTGTTTTTGTGACTGCCAAAATTTCTAAGAATCTTGATCACAATAGTGTGACAACCATGAGACCGAATGCGAAACTCTTGGACGTGCATTAGTCTCTCCGTTTCTCTCGCTAATTCTTCTTCTCTGTCTCTCTGTGTCTCAGTTTGAGGACAATCACTGTTCTAAGGAAAATATCTCTAGAAGTGGAAGCTTGGGCTCTGCTGCAATTTAACAATGTTTCCAGGAACGGGCGAACCGCCAACTAGTACTATTTCGCAAAGTCAGCTTGAAATCTCAATAGTTGCGGTAGACGATAATAAGCCAGCCAAGAAATTCAACAGACGGTAAGTGCTATTTTTTTTTTCCCTCTCTCTCTTTGTCGCATTCATTTGTGCTCCAGCTTTCATCTTTTTGCTTCAAGTCAAATTGATATTATATAATCATCAACTGATTGAGATTAGTAGTGTCCGTGGTACGTTGCACGTGGCACCTCGCATCTTACGTTTGGCCATCGAAGTTCTTTTGATTATGAAATGCACAGCGATGATAAAGAATCACAATAGCCAGGTTGATGCGAGAATTAATAAAGAAAAGTGAACAGCAATCAAGCCGAAAATATTGGTAGGAAAGTTCGATTAGCTTGGTGGCGACTAGCACTTTAACGAAGATCCGTTTAATCCGATTTGTTTCGACTGTTGTTGATTTCCGAGAAAAATACCGCGTTTTAAAGCGAAAACACTGTTTTAATTTTCAGTAATATTCAGAATATTTAATTAAACGAAATTTAAACGCTTGCTCCAGGTAAAGCTGAAGGCTGAAGGGAGCAACTTTAACGAGGCAGTATTCAGAGTTCGCTATTTTGCCATGAAAGGATATTTCAAGATTTCCATACAGTGAAATTGATTCTAGCATTTACTCTCTCATAGGAACCCGCTTTAATTTCCTTTTAATGCTAGACTATTGATTACTGTTCAGTCGTCGCTTTGTTTTCAAATGTCATATCTAGAGCTATATCAATTTTTGGATACGCCATGAATGTTTAAGTTCTGTAATTGTCCCCGGTTAATTGTCACGGTCGATTGAAACACACAAAATCGTCACGCTCGCAACTTGATGAATGAAAATGAATAAATGAATCAATGAATGAATCAATCAATGTTCTTATCAATACATTTGGTTAATCAAGTAACAAGGTTTTACAAGGTAGTCCCCCTATCCTTCCTTATATTAACTTATTGAAGGATTTCGTGCAAAAAGGGTGTATATCGCTTTTTGGGCCGATTTTCATTTTTTGCAGGATCGAGCTAATGACTTGTTGTGACATGAAAAACATCGTTCCGTAATTGTTTTTGCTGATTTGCGCTTCGCTCTCGAGAAAAAAAAACGTTTGCAAAAAAGCTCAGTTTTCCAAGGGCATCTTTTGGAGATCTTTTGTTGAACGAAAAACAAAAGAAACCTTTTGTTTCGCTAAGGCCCGTTCCAAACGCTGCTCTATTCATGCGCCGAACCTAACTGATGAGTTAAGTACGGCAGAAGAGCGGCGTTTGAATCAGTTTGGTTCGGCAGGTTAGGTTTGGTGCGGCAAACAATATTAAATTCGGCAGGGTCTGTCGCACTATGCGACGTTGGAGCGGCAGCTGATTCAGACGGCGTTCTCCTCATGGGTCGAACCTGATGCATAAATTACTGTAATGCGTTTTTCATATAACGGGACTCGTGATTGGCTCGAAATTGAGTGGCGTGACCAGTCATACATGAAGCTGGAAGTCGTCACCAAAAATAAACACAACGAAATTAAATATGCCTTCGATTTGAGAGAAACGGGACTGTAAGCGAGTTTCTTTCGCGCAAATTCATTTTTTCCTTTTTCTTCGTGATAATAGCCCAGGTTATGCGATTTTCCTTTAAAAAGTCGTATTAACCGGGAGAAAACCTGTCTAAATACAAACACTGAGCCTTGAGTTTGAATTTGCTTCCCTAAATATTGTTACAACAGCGGAATGTTAGTCACAGCTTTTCTATTTGGACAGAGTTCTTGAATTCAGAACGTGTATTTTYTCGTCGAAAATTGTTACCACCGGCTTCCCGAATTAAGTTCGACGCAAGTACGCCGTCTGAACCAGCCGCCGCTCCAAAGTCGCTCTAAAGTCGAACTTAATCAAGTTTGGTTCGGCAAATGAGTGGAGCGGCGTTTGGACCGGGCCTAAACGATGAAGTCACCGAAGCGTAGCATTTGGCGCTAGTTGTTCGAACTGATACAAGTTTTATTATTCATATAATTACGCGAATCTCTTAACGGGCCGGATTCGAGTTTGTTTTGCCGTGACACCGGTTCGATACGAGATCGGTCGATTTTTTTTTTTTCCGGTCTATTTCTCTACTTCTTTCAAAAACCAAAACATCTATTTAAAAAAACCGTGCTGTTCGAAGCGTCGCGTCGAAATCTACCTTCGAAGGATTCGCTCCAAAAGATGGCGCTTGGAAAACTGAGTTTTTTACATACGTTATTTCTCGAAAACGAAGCGCAAATCAACAAAAACAATTAAGTTAGTCTGCCAAAAATTAGCTCCCATATATTGCAAAAAATGAAAATTAAAAAAAAAGCGATATACGCCCTTTTTGCACGAAATCCTTCAATTATGCTTCGTATTTTGAATCAGTACAGTACATGTATTGGTATTTAAATGCAAACTAAACAGGACACTATATTTATACAAAACTGAAAAAAATTATGTATACAGATTCGGCTACCAGGTACTTACTAAAGGTATAGAAACAAGGGAATAACAGGCAACGAAGATACATTTAATCCCAAAACAGTTGATATAAAAGATATAGATAGATCACTAAACTTTTTTTCATAGTTCTTTAAAAGAACATTTCTGGAAGCAGAATGCTCACCTAGGTGGTGATGACTAGTAATCTTTTGTAAANCGAGGGAGACTTTTCGCCGTTAATGATATTTCAATTTCTGCGAAATTTTCACTCAGTATATAATAAAAATATACTGATAAAGTTTTTTTACCTAATTTTTTTTAAAATTTCTTTAGAGAAAAATAACTCCAAAATATTAATTTATATATAGATACCCGAACTTGCGGATATCAGAGAATTGAGTGGGTCTGGATTCTCGGTCGCCTCTGGAGCACGCACAACAGGCAGTTAGTAAAACCAGCCTAATGTTTCTCTTGTAGGAAGAAGGCAGGTTGTGGTGCGATCGGGTTTTTGCTTCTGGTGGCTATAGGTGCTGTGGTGTATGTTACTGTGGGAAAAAAATCCGATCAGTCAACTGGTGGACCCTACGAAAGACAGGCTGTTGCAACGGATACACCGCAGTGCTCCCAAATCGGCAAAGACATTCTCAACGCCAACGGTTCGGCCGTGGATGCTGCCATCGCCGCCATGTTCTGCTTGGGGGTTATAAGCATGCATTCGTCGGGGATAGGAGGAGGTGGAGTAATGTTGGTGTACAACAGAAGCCTCCACGAAGCCAGTGTCATCGACTTCAGAGAAACCGCTCCAGCACTAGCATACCGGGACATGTTTAAGGGCAACGAGCAGAAAGCCCAAAAAGGTATTCTTCTCTGCTTTGTATTCAGCGAAGACTTCTAAAAATATGAAGAAAATAGTATAACGAGGTCCAGAAAAAGCCTGGAGAATGACCAAATGGTAGAATAGCTCTGGGTACTGGATTTAACTGATTTTGCAGCGGTCACACGAGAGCTCTCCATACTATTGTGACTAATCAATGTTCCGCCTTTCGCTTTCGTTTGTGCCCGCAATCGGAACTGCACATTATTGTATTAATGTTCTTCAGCTTGTAACACTGACTCGGACTCTTAACTGGCTAGTATCTCTCACACGTTTGATGAAATATTTTTGGGTTGTTTGGACTAAAGATGACCGTTTAAATTTTTAAAACGTCGACTGATTTAAGCAAATACTACAAAGACTACCTTAACTTCTTCTTAGGTGGTCTGTCCATTGCCGTGCCTGGCGAGGTACGCGGTCAATACGAAGCCTGGAAACGATATGGCTGGTTGCCGTGGAAACAACTTGTTCAACCTGCCATCGAATTGGCCAGAAATGGATTTAAAATAACAGCAGCTGTGGACGATGCTCTGAAAACGACAAAAGGATTAGAACAGGACATCAGAAATGATCCAGGATTGAGGTCAGTTCATATCACCTTGCAACTCAATTACAAGCAGTAGAAGATAAAGCGTAACAGGGTTAATCCCAAGTGTAGCTCTTACTCCTAAGGTAATCCCTCTCAAGTTATTTTTAGCTGTGTTATCTAGTTCACACACGGATAATGTTACCACACGCGTGCTGCGTTTTCTGAAGAAATTCATGTAAAGCTGCTGGCTAGGGCTGTCCCGGCACGTGAACAAAATACACGTCACTGGATGGATTGATCCTAGGATTTCCAAAACCGGGAGCTAGTGATCTCAGAATAAATTGACAAGGATTACTTGAGAAATAAAGCCTATAGAGGGGAGTAACTCTTTTGCCTTCATCTTCTCTTGGTTACAAGATGGCCATGGCCTAATGCATTCCAAAAATAACGCACGCGACAAATCTTAACATACTCATAGTAAATTTCATGAGGGAAGTCACATGTGTAAAGGTTCTGATTCTTACTTCGTTCTCTCTAGCCTGGTAATGCCACGATACTGTGTTGTTGTTTTCAATATGATTTCAGCGAACTGCTTCTGGATAAAAACAAAAAGCTTCGTAAAAAAGGAGACAAAATCAAGAACGAAAAGTACGCAAAAACCTTGGAACAAGTGCAAAACGATCCCGAATCGTTTTATAGTGGACAGCTGGCCAATGATATCGCGGAAGACATAAGAATAGTTAATGGCATCGTAAAGTTGGACGATCTGAGAAGATACAAGTTGATCAACAGAAAGCCATATAAGGGTGAACTCTCGGGCATGAATATGTACCTCACCCCACCCCCCACAAGC